TGTTATTTAGGAACAGGGCCTGCAGAAGTGCACGTGTTTAGCACCAGTGTTACTAAGGGTGTAAGTACTAGTTCAGGTGTATGGAGTTTGGAACAATATAGGATCATGTGGGATATCCCTAGCCTATAGAAGCAAGACCCTTTTCCCCTCCTGTGCCTACCTATCATGCCTCTATGTGCTTGCTTCTCTGGGTGTATTTGGGGACGTGACTTCACATATACCATCTTCTGTGGTGGGTTGAGCCTAGCTCGCAGCTGAGCCCCTGTGTGGAATGGGGAGGGAATTGGAAGGGCAAAAGCAAAAACAACTCAGGAGTTGAGATAAAAGCACTTTAACAGGTGAAACAAGATGCATGTACAAGTGAAGCAAAACAAGGAGCTTATTCAGCATGTCCTGTTGGCAGGCAGATATCCAGCAGCTTGTGGGAAAGCAAGGTCCACCATGTGTAACTGTTGCTTGGGAAAACAAGTGCCATAACTGCAATGTCCTCTCTCACAACTTTCATTACTAAGCACGATGCCATATGGGGTATCCTCTGGGTCAGCTGTCCTAGCTTTGTCCCCTGTGAGGTTTTCGGGCACCCCCAGCCTACTTGCTGGTGGGGCAGAGCAGGACAAAGAGACAGCCTCAGCCTTGATGCTGTGCGAGCAGCAGCCAAAACATCAGGGTGTTGTCAGCCCTGTTTTGGTCACAGATCCAAAGCACCCTACAGGCTGCTGTGAGGGAAACCAACTCCATCCCAGCCACACCCATATGTCATTATAGGTGTAAAATGTATCAAGCATAATGCTGACCGTAGCAAGAATTTACTTTGCAGTGCAGGAAGCTTCTGAGAGGGATGTGCAAGCAGGTGGAAGTCACCATGGTCTAACACAGGGGGATGGGGGCAGGAACTAGCAGAATCTGCAGGTCAGGCTGTTGCTCTCTTGCTAAGATACCATTGGTAAATTAACTACTGTTTCTATTTCAGCTGAGCTGTAATATGGGTTAATAATAACCTGTGTATAGGTTATGGGGAGCGTAATGCCCCAAGCATACCAAATTCACTGGGTTAACCAGCTTACTTCTTCCAGACAGCTCACCAAGAGGGTTAGAAAAGATTACGTTAAAAAAAAAAACCACTCCAGAAGGTTTATGAAGGGAGAGACTATTGTAAGACTTTGTGACTGGTTTTTACATAACTATGATATGAAATTCATATAAGGTATGCGATTGACCACTGTGCACTAGGCTGCTGCTGGCTGTACTTGACTGCATGAGACTTTGAACTAACTTGCCTTCTCCTCCTCATCTTCAAAGAGCTGGGCAACAAATACCAGGTCTTAGAGGACCTGAGTTTCCCTTAAGGAAACTTCCTCTCAAGAAGATGATTGATTTAATTTTGCGTTTTCTCTCTAGAGCCCAGAAGGGCAAGTAGAAAAGGAGATGAACAAGTGATATTTGGAAACAAACTATGAACTCAAAAAAGCAGGGTTTGGCTTTGAAACATTGTCCACTTCAACCATTTTACTTGGAATGCAGAAGGTGAAGAGAGATGAGAGGATGCAGCAGAGATTCTCGTACGGTGCAGGAATGACTTAAGGAATTAGTACTCAAATCTACAGAGCCTCTCCTGAAAACCCAGTGACCTGGCACTGAAGGTCCCAGACTTCTGGGACTCCCTGGAACAGATGTCCAAGGTGATATCCACCTATCAAAGTGGGGGACTCAGCAGAAGTGATCTAATCCACCTAAGCTATGGCTGGTCAGCAAGCCCGAGGGCAGGCAGGGCACAGCCAGGCAGCAGATACGGCTGTGGTGGGTGCTGACAGCAACCCCTCCCTCAGTGCCTGGTGGGGGATGACAGCTCGCCTACCCGGGCAGCCGCAACCTGCAACGAGACTGGTCACCAGCAGGAACACTCAGAAAGATGGTATAACCTTGGAGGGTTTCAATGTTGATTTTAGGCCAGGACTACAAGAGGGGTGAACCTGGAAGGGAAGAACAGTGACTGGTTCAGCTACTGACTACACCAGCAATCAGCCCGGCATAGAAGATTTAGGCTGCCTTCACTACGCTTCAGGAAGGGCAAGGACTGAACTTGGTTTGCCTTACGGGGGACTACTGCTCGACACGTAGCTCCGTTATCCTTTTCTTCCTTGGTTTGTGTAAACCCGTTTGTTGGAACTGCTTGCGTGCAGGTGGGGAAGTGCTGTCCATTAGGCACCCAGCTGGTTTAATCCAGTCTCCCATGTTCTAGCGACTGTATTTGGGTATTACTTGAACGAGAACCCTGGGGATTGAACCTGGCCCTTATTACTGCCTATCAGTGCCAGGCAGGAGATTTACATTAGATTAGCATTTAATCTGAATGGTTGTCAATGTAAGAATCTGCTTCTTTCAGTCACATGTCCTGAATGTACAGGAGGCATACACATCATTTAAAACTGACAAGGAGACAAAGTTCATTCATTTTACAGCACCAACACTGAGCCCTGAAAAAATAATAAAAATAAAAAAATCTTACCCTGCACTTACTCTTCCATTCTTTTACTTACAAAAATACATTCATTTTCTTAACAAAAACACAACTCTGATAAATAATGAAGTGTTCAAAAGATAAAAATACTCTGCTAAAATTCATCTATGAAGGCTTTCTATTCTATTTAGGCAGTTCCCATTATCAGTACCATATACAAAGTGAGGGCTGAGTACATCTCGGTGAGATAAGTATCACATTGTCTCTGTGGAGAAGAAGAAAACAGTTTACAAACAACCAAATTTACCTTACAAGAGACTGAATTCAGGTAGGGCGTTGTGCAATTTAGAAGCAACTGCACGAGTGATCTAGAAATAATATCTTAAGCCACATTGAAATCACTCCAATCAAGCACAGCCAGCAGCTTCTGCAACCCTTTTATCGCTGAGCTAAGTATTCGATTTACGTAAACTGACACAGATCCACTACCGTCGAGCTGCAGATTTATAGCAGCTGAAAACATAGCCCACTAAAAACATTAACAGCCTTTACAGGGACTTCTGGTTGTTTTTAAAGACGACTATTCAGAAATGCACAAACATTACAGAATAAATCAAACTCCCAAAGCTGTTTGCTGTGATGTTTTGGAGCTATGTGAGATTACTACATAACTTACCTACTTCAAAGTGCAGTAAATCTGCTATTTCAAATTCCATCAGACTCAAAATTGTAAACAGGCTTATGGTTTTTATTGTTGTAAACACATATGCCGCAGGCATACAAATCTTGATTTGACCAAGAACTGAAACAAGCTAAAAAAAAAAACAGCCTTTGATGTCAATTCAGCAGAAGTCTTAAACACAGTTAACTTTTACCCACGCACACTCAAAATATATCCTTAAAAGGTCACTCACAATTGTTTTGCTGAATTAGGACAGTTCATTAGGCCTTAGACTTCAAACTTGCCTGAAAAGGTTTCAGAATTAAACTTAATGAGACAGGCAGTGGATGTACTGATTATGCTTCACAGTTTCTTTCAGTAAAAGCTTCCGGTTTCCAGTCCCAGCACTGTGAGTCACTTCCCAGATGGCCCTGAGCGAATTACTTGTGTCATTGTCCCCAGTGACACACTCGCTGCAAGTGCTCGCAAGCAGCAGCAAGCCAAAGGCACTTTAGTACAAAATAAAAGCACCCTCCCACATACTCAGAGAATGAAGCCAGTGAGCTGTAAATTCGTGTCTTGTCTTGCATAGTGCTAATGTCTTCAAGGCAAACAAGCCTTCAACTCCTGGATTCATCACTCTCCCCTCTAGATATAGATATGTTTTCAGAGTCCAATCATTTTAGCTTAAGCTTGGAGCCAGCCTCTGGAGGTCTCTGTTTCTCTATGGAAGAAACCTGGAATGACCAGTCTTAACTGAAGTGCTCCAGAAAGTGCCTGAGGTTAGGAAGGTCTTTCATCTATAAAATAGG